TGTCCCAGTCTTATCGTTACAGTGATTTTAACAATACGTTCTACTAACTTTCCGTTACAAAAATTTTACCAATGTGTTCTATAGACTTAACAGTTACAAAAATTTTACCAATGTGTTCTTAGTCTTATCATCAGTAATTATTCTACTAACATGCTCCAGGAATTTACACGTACAAATACGTTGCCAATACACTTTCAACCCTCAAATATTTTACTTATAAAAATCCAATTTTATCAGTATAAATACTTTACCAATGCGCTTCAGATCCCCTTTCATGTAATACTAAAAACGTCACCTAAATTTATATTGAAATTTTATCGTTTACGCACGTGAATAACATTTTTAAATTTGTGGCAAAACAAAGATTGAAATATTTACAAAAGATTGACATTTTGAACGATTTTTCTTCACGGTGAAAAACTCAGACAAAGCATACTATACACACTTGAAACCAAAGTCATACTTACGAGCTCTTGGGACCTTCCATCTTGTTTTAAAATATTTCATTGCAGATTCAGTTTTCTCTTTTAAGTTTTTGTGTTATGACCAAATAAACTTAGCGCTTAAAACATAATCTACCAAATGTTTTATTGGTAAAGTTACATGAAAATATTTCTAAACTAATCAAGTCTTGTTGGAACTGTTCTGTACTAACTTACAAGTATAGGTTAAAAAAGGAAGACAGCATAAAATATGCTGAAATGTTTTCCACGTTAGTTACTCGAGATGCTGAATTAATATAGGAAGTAAATTGTGGTTTGAACATTTTTGTTCCGTTAATACAATGTTACTTGGTTTTTCTCTAACTGCACAGAACGCCTTCTTCCTGATAACTTTAGAACTAAACTTCATCAGTTCAATCACAAAACTAAGTTTTAGTATTCACTATATTTCAAACAGGTTACAGGTTTGCAAAACTACTTCCTCACACAATACAGTTCTTTCTGGATTTTCATTTGTGTTATGAAGTAAAAAGGCATTCGAATAGAAAATGGACAACAATGTTCAGATTCCAAAACAAAACCGTCAACAGGAAGTAGAGGTCACATTTAACAATACCGTCAACAGGAAGTAGAGGTCACATTTAACAATACCGTCAACAGGAAGTAGAGGTCATATTTAACAATATTAAAAAGTAGTTGTTCAAAATCAGACTTGAATTTCTAGAAAGTTCTAGATAAGGATGGTATTGTCAAGAAAGGCCTGTTTATGACAAATTATAATTTAGAACAAATTCTGATATGGACAGAGGTAACCCCATTGATAAAAATATATGATTTTCAAATCAACAAAACCATAAAATAACGTAGTTAACTACAATGATATTTAGAAACAAACAAAACAGAGCTATATATACCTATTCTGAGATCTACTGTCTCATCTATTTAGGTATACATACACTCCTTTAGCACTAATACTGCTTAACATTTTACTCCAATTCTAAGCAGTATGTTTACAGATAAACCCAATACTTTACTTCAAAACTTAACAATAAAATAGAAACAAATTAAATGATGTCATACAGGATGCATACTTAAGATGTACATCCTTGATAACAATGACCAGACAAAGGGAAAAACTGATTAGTTTAGAAGAAAAATTTACTTAGATGACATTTCATTACATGGTAGTTAATATCAAGGATAGTTTTTTTTATCAGGTATACAAAACAAACAATTCCATTAATAACTTAGAAAAAGTTTAATATTCAAATATTTGATTCACTTAACATCCAGTGACTCACAATATTAACTCCATTTTAATGATAATACAAACAACTATTTAAACTAGTAGTTAACTTTATGGTTGTTTCTTGAATGGCACAGAAAGCTATTAGAGGGTTTTCTGAATTAGCTGTCCCTAATATTCATGTAATAAACTAGAGTGAAGGCACCCACCACAAAATCTTGTCAGACAAAATAGTGGGATTTAACTGTCACTCTTATAATATACTTATGGCTCCAAAGTGCATAGCACAATTTCTTTTTTTCTAATAATAATTGAATGCAAACCTCAGATCCACAGTCCAGCACGCTAATCATTGGGCTGATTCTGTGTTAAAAGTTAACTTAATATATAGCATAACCACCCCTCTATGCTCACATGTATCAATAATCACACACAGGAGCAAAAAAGACCTATCAAATAACTGCCACAGTATCTCAGTCACACAAAATAACAGGAGTACAGCACACCTTGGAGAAAATATGATTCATCAAATAACTACCCCACAGTATTTCATCACATGTAATAACAGGTGTACAGCACACCTTGGGGTATACATGATTCATCAAATAACTACCCAACAGTATTTCATCACATGTAATAACAGGTGTACAGCACACCTTGGGGTATACATGATTCATCAAATAACTACCCCACAGTATTTCATCACATGTAATAACAGGTGTACAGCACACCTTGGGGTATACATGATTCATCAAATAACTACCCCACAGTATTTCATCACACGTAATAACAGGTGTACAGCACACCTTGAAGTATACATGATTCATCAAATAACAACAATACTATCTCACTCACACAAAACAGGAGCACAGCACACCTTGGGGTACATATGATTCACATCTTAGTCACACATAATAACAGTTCTGGTGTTCTACACAACAGGTAGTTCTACATGTTCCTCAATCATTCCTTACAGATCTGGTGTTCAACAATACAGGTAGTTCTACCTGTTCCTCAATAATTCCTTACAGATCTGGTGTTCAACAATACAGGTAGTTCTACTTGTTCCTCAGTAATTCCTAACAGATCTGGTGTTCAACAATACAGGTAGTTCTACTTGTTCCTCGGTGAACACCAGATCTGTTAGGAATTAACACTACAGGTAGTTCTAAGTAGAACTACCTGTAGTGTTGAACACCAGATCTGTTAGGAATTACTGAGAAACAAGTAGAACTACCTGTAGTGTTGAACACCAGATCTGTTAGGAATTACTGAGAAACAAGTGTTCCTCAGTAATTCCTAACAGATCTGGTGTTCAACAATACAGGTAGTTCTACTTGTTCCTCGGTAATTCCTAACAGATCTGGTGTTCAACACTACAGGTAGTTCTACTAGTTCCTCAGTAATTCCTTACAGATCTGGTGTTCAACAATACAGGTAGTTCTACTTAATACAGGTAGTTCTACTTGTTCCTCGGTAATTCCTAACAGATCTGGTGTTCAACACTACAGGTAGTTCTAGTTGTTCCTCGGTAATTCCTAACAGATCTGGTGTTCAACAATACAGGTAGTTCTACTTG